CATGTCTAAGGTGTCAGAACACTGGGTTCCACATTTGCTAACCCCTTTCCAGAAACAAACACAGAGTGACCTTTCAAGATAGATGTTGACGCTGTTGGAAGAGGATGAAGAGGATTTTTTTGGTTGTATAGTAACCATGGATGAATCTTGGATCTATCCATATGACACAGAGACCAAAACCATGAGAATGGAGTGGAAACATGCCGATTCCCCTCCTCTAAAAAAGGCAAAGTTGCAAAAGTCAGCAGGGAAGGTTGTGCTCTTTTTTTGGGGGGGGGGGCTGTCCTGGAGTCATTCTCACAGATTACTTTGCAAAGGGACAAACCATCACTGGCACATACTACAGCAATCTTCTGGACAAGTTGTGAGATGCTCTGAAAAAGAAATGCCACGGTATGCTCTTCAGAGGCATTTGTTTCCTAGCTGACAATGCACCAGCTCATTCATCTCAAGTTGCAGTTAACAAAGCAAGGGCATGTGGCTTTGAGATCTCACTGCATCTGCCTTATTCTCCCGACCTTGCACCACGTGATTTTTTTCTTGTTACCAGAAATGAAAAATCCATTGTGGGGTCACTGATTTGACAACACGAATAATGTCATCCATGAAGTGGAAGAGTAGTTTAAGACACAATCTGCAGACTTCTACAATAATGGGACTTGGAGGGTCAAGAAATGCTGGGGGAAATGTGTAAATCTAGATGGTGACTCCGTAGAGATAAGTTAACAACTACAAATCAAATCAAACTTTCTGTCAATTTTTTTTAAAGGTGATAATTAAAACTTTATGATATCCCCTTGTATTATCGCAATCATGATCAGCACCATCTTTTTCCCAGTCAGGAACTCAAAGCAACTTACAAAAGTTTAAAAAAGACATAATTAAACTATCAATAAAATTCAAACAAAAATCCACCAAAGGTATCACTGTTGGGTGGATTTTTGTTTGAATTTGCTAAATGGGTAACACAGCTATGCCTGCATGTTATCAATAAAATTATTTGTAAATGAAAGCACGGCCATTAAAAAGAACAAGAATAAAAAGCAGAGCACATTAAAAGGCTCTTTCTCCTGAGCAGCCAGCCCCCAAAGGACTACCAAAACAAAAAGCTCTTCTCAAGGATAGCGAGAAGGATGCCAGTCTAAAAAATCTAGAGGTGCATCTACACTGTAGAAATAATGCACTTTGAAACTACTTTAAGTACTGTAGCTCTATCTTTTGGGATCTTGGTTTTTGTAGTTTTTCAAGGTCTCCAGCCTTCTCTGCCAAAGAGTGCTGATGCCCCACAAAACTACAAATCCCATGATTCAGTAAGATGGAACCATAGCAGTTCAAGTCATATCAAACTGCATTATTTCTACAGTACAGATGCACCTAGGAAAGCAGTTTCTGAAGATAGGAGCAACCACCAGGAAGGCCTTTTCTCATTTCCTGTTATTTGTTCAAGATTTATTTATGAAAGTTCCAAGCACTATTCCCAATGTTTTCCAACCATTTAAAAACAAAATATCATCATAACAGTAAAATGGTTTAGATGTTGTTCTAAATATTCATAGTGACAGTGCACTTGCCAACAAGGTCCTGTTGCTTGGTGCCTTTTGGCCTTGACAGAATACAGAAAGAGACAGCATGGTTAGTGGTTTGAGTGCTAGACTATGAATCTGGAGATCAAGGTTCGATTCCCAGCTTGGCCATGAAACCCACTTGGAAACCTTGGGCAAGTCACAGAGGAAGGTAATATACAAACCTTCTCCAAACAAATCTTGCCAATAAAAACCCGTAATAGAATCACAGAATCATAGAGCTGGTAGAGACCTCAAGGGCCATCCAGTCCAACCCCCTGCCATGCATGAACTCACAATCAAAGCACCCCTTACAGATGGCCATCCAGCCTCTATTTAAATACCTCCAAGAGACTCCACCACTCTCCAAGACAGAGTCTTCCACTGTCAAACAGGTTCTTACTGTCAGGAAGTTCTTCCTAATATTGAGATGAAATCTCTTTTCCTCTAGTTTGAATCCACTGCTCCAGTTCCTATTCTCTGGAGCTGCAGAAAACAAGCTTGCTCCCTCCTCAATATGATATCCCTTCAAATATTTAAACAGGGCTATCATATCACCTCTTAACCGTCTCTTCTCCAGGCTAAACATACCCAGCTCCCTAAGTTGTTCCTCATAGAACATGGTTTCCAGGCCCATCACCATTTTGGTTAATTTAATAGTTTGTCTCAGGGTCGCCATAAGTCAGAAATGACTTGGAGGCACACAATAACAACAGAATACAGAAAACAGAGAAGGCCTGAGATGCTGATCTTAGGAAATAGGAAGTTTAGTATAGGAGATAGCAGTCTTTTGGCTCTCTTAAAGCACCCTTCTCTTGTTGTCCTTCTACCACAACCTTTTTGTTCAGGTCACCTTTTTGGAAGTGACTGGATTCCCTGGAAAACACTTTAAATATTTAGAGCTGCAATTGGTTGTTTTTAATGGACCCACCTTTAAATCACTTTTAATTTAACTCTTTTTACTATCATAATTTGTTTTATTTGTGTTTTAAATATTGCATGCATTGCATCTATTTTTTTAAAAGTCTGGTTTGTGAGTTGCCTTCAGTCCTAGTTTGGGGAGAAAGGTGGGATATAAATTAAATCAGTCAAATACATAAAAGTACTCTCTTTCTAACAGAAGCATATGGGTTTCCTCTGAGTGGGAAAGGAAACAAATCTGTTGGGAGAAGAGCCCAAAGGTTTGCTTTGTGGTTTGCTGCTGAGCTACAATTTCACAAACTGTTGTCTCATGAATTTTATCAGAGATAGGAGCCAGAGCCTGCAAAATCAAGATGGAGGAAGAGTTGACAAAATGCTTTTAAGTGAAAACACATCATTACAAGTTAAATAAGAACTCCAGGCCTGAAGCAAATGACTTTCCCATTAAAATGTTCAGCTCCACTTCCAGTGGTAATTTATAGAAGCAAGCACTGTGGAAACAGACGTCTCTCAATATACAATGGAATCAACAGTGGCCAATGCAAATATAATATAACATAATTAAAAATTAATAAGAAAGCAGAGTAAGTGTGACATGGAGGACAAGGAAGGAAGGAAGGGAAAGTGGTTATGACTTTCCAAAGATCTTAGTGCATTCTATTTTTCTAATGAACAAAATTGGAATTTTGCTGTTAAAAAAATCTATGATCTAAGGGTGCCCTCAGCTGGTTGAGAAGGAAAATGTCAGTTGTTATAAAAATGTTGGCATATTGCATTTCTTTTTATGAGGTAGCTGTTTCCTACTGGAGGAAAAAATATTAAGGGAAAAAAAACATGCTGTGTTAACTTTTTATGCTTCCATTACACTCTTGGAAGGATACAGTGAAGCTGAAAAAAAAATGCTTACTCCTGAACTTTTAAAAGATGGTTGATAGTATTGTGACAAAATAACTTTCAGAAAGAAAGAGAGGGGAGGAGAGAAAGGATTTTTCTGGATTTAAGACATCATGTCACTGTGTTCTTCTCTCAAGTTCAAATAGTTCTAGGACTGCCCAGCATTCAAACTTTTTAATTTTTAACTATTTCATGAAAATCAGTTTAGCTGCCCAAGATGGGTCTCCTCTCCTGACAAAAATGAAATGAAAATGTTACGCATAGTTTGTTGCAAAACATTTCCTGGCTTGCACTGTTTATATCGGAGACATAAATGCAGGTCATTTCATTGTCAAATGCTTCCCCTTTAAATGTGGGACATCAGAAAGCTGAGTGAAAACACTATGTTGCATTAAGCCAAGAGTTGTTTGTTTGTTTGTTTGTTTTCATGCAAAAGGAGTCTTAAGAGGAAGATGAACAGCAGTGATGCCAACCCAAGACCTTATGGGTTTCTGATCAAAGAACAAAATGGCACCCCTCCCTAGCCCACAAAAGGAGTCAACTAGATTGGGAGACGAATCTCTCTTGGACAGTAGTGACAGGTCAGGATTCTCTATGTCACATGAAATCTGGAGGCTAGCTTTTGAAAAGCAGAACAGGTTGTGAAACACACTGGCCTCTCAAACATCTTGTTGCTACTCTCTGCTCTCTTCCTCCGTAGAACAAGTATCCCTCTCCCACTCTTGCTTGCTCTCTCTCTGCAGCTGTATTTACTATTTTATTTTAAAGGACCACCTCGAAAGGGCAAATACTGTTCCTATACTGGCACTCTGAAGCGGCACAGTCTCCCAACAGTTTGAGCTAGTATGGTGTAATGGTTTGAGTGTTGAACTAGAACTCCAGGAGACCAGGGGTTGAATTCAACCACAGGAACCCACTGGGTAGCCTTGGGCAAGCCTCAGAGAAAGAGTGTGACAAACTCCTCTGAATCAATGTTGCCAAGAAAACTCTACGGGAAGGTCTCCATAAGTGAAAGTCAACCTGAAGGTATGTAGTGACGATAACAATAAAACCACCGTTTCACCACATAGTCTGCCACTTTTATATGCGATCTCTTCGACACATATTTTCTGCTGGAATGAAACATCAGCTATATGAAGAGTTAAGGAATTCCAATAAAAAGATTTTACTCAGTTTCACAGGAGCTTGTTCAAGGCTGGCAGTGGAAGAGGAAGGTCCAAGAGGGGCAATTTTTCTGGAATCCAGAAAACCTGCTTTACAGAAAAGGCAAAACTGAACTGGATCTTGAATAACTCTTAAATTCCAGGCAAAACTTAGAACAGATTCACCACCACACAACATGAGTGTGACTGCCTCTTGTATCAGAGACACTATCCCTTTTGCTGTCAATTGTTGGGATACACTAGTGGGAGAGCACTGTAATGGTCAGAAGACCACTGGTTGTAAAGAACAGCATTATTGTGGTTGTTGTTGTGTGCCTTCAAGTTATTTCTGCCTTATTGCAACCCTAAGGCAAACATATCATGGGATTTTCTTGGCAAGATTTGTTCACAGAGGGCTTGTCTTTGCTTGGTCTGAGGCTGAGAGACTACGACTTGCCCAAGGTCACCCAGTGGATTTTGGTGCCTGAGCAGGGACTCGAATCCTAGTCTCCAATGTCACAGTCCAACACTCAGACCACTACACCACACTGGCTCCCTAGATAAGCTAGACAGATCTGATCTGGCATGGCTCTTATATTATTATCTTTTAAGAAACTATATACAGTAATGCTTCTCACACTTTCAAATGTGGAGGGCTGCCAATTATTGTTTTCTAATGTGAAAGGGTTGTTATTTGTTGTTGTGTGCCTTCAACTCATTTCCAATTTATGGCAATCCTAAGGCAAACCTATTAATGAGGTTTTGTTGGCAAATTTCTTCAGGGGGGGGGTTGCCATTGCCATCCTCTGAGGCTGAGAGGTTGTGACATGCCCAAGGTCACTCAGTGAACTTCATGGCTGAGATGGGATTCAAACCCTGGTCTCCCAGTGTCCTAGTCCAACACTCAGACCACTACACCACTGCACCCATTGGGTACCATTGTTTATTTTCTGGAAACTTGCCAAGCACCAGCAGCCAATGGTTTAAGGACCGGAATCAGTCCAAGGAGCACTACTTGTAGCAGCACTGGAATACACCACAGCTGTCATGCTTGAGGTACTGATCATCTATCCTTTCTTGTACTGGACTCTGCACTCAGCATGGGGTTCTGTTTCTGCACAGGGTTCCTTCAGGTCTCCCATCAATGTCTCTGAATGGGCTTCCACTGGCTAAGCTACAGAGGAGCCATGGCATCATGTGTTCCCAAGACAAGGGTGGGCAAGCTCTTGGGCAGGACAATTTTCAGCCCCTGGGATCCACTATGGATGACATTAACTAGCTAACCTAGTTTTTCTGTTTGTTTGTAACTTCTTTTTTGGGGGACAATTCACACTGGGAGGGTACCCTCTTCTAAAAGAGTACCTAACATCCCAATATTTTGCAGATGAAAACAGAGACACATGTGGTCAAGCCACATCAGAATATGGTCTAGATAGCAAAAGTTAAAAATAGAAAAGAACACACAAGCTAGGAGAGGCTGCAACAGTTTACTTTTGCCTGAGCCAATTGGGAAGGGCAAGTTTCTGCCCCCTCCTCTCCTCTGCTCCTTTCTGAGTTAACTCTGGACTTTGATCTGTTTGAAGCAACTGAAGTAAACTGAGGACAAAAAGGGAAAGGGAAGGAGGAAAGAAATTGGAATGTTTTAAGGGTAGTTGAAAAAGAGGGGTGACAAAGGATGAATTGGGACTGTCCCTCCAAATCAGGACATTTGGAGTGTGTGAAAGAACTGCCATTCCTGGGGACTTCCAAGAACAACTCCTCCCTCTATTCTGGCATTTTTGGGGGGAGGTGGGGATCTACTTTGGGATCACACAACTCCCATCTCTATCCTATACCAGTGGTTCTCAAACTTTGATCCTTTGGGCATTTTGGACTTCATCTCCCAGAATGCCTGGCCACTGGGCAAGCTGATGGGTCTTCTGGGAGCTGAAGTCCAAAACACCCAGAAGACAAACACTGGAGAATCATCTGGGCCCAAGATTAATCATTACTTCTTTATCTGTTAATCAGCAACTTTCCATGGAAAAGAAAGGACTGCATGTGTCATTTGGCCGACATTTGGCCACAGTCAAGCTGGACTCAGTGGAGTAAACTTGCATTGGGAATGTGCCCACTCTAATATTTCATACAGCATAGGCCAAGATGTCCCCTTTGATTTACTTCCTTGTTTATAAACCAGCACAGCTCTATGTTCTTGTGTCAGCAGAAACGCACAAGGCCTGGGAACAGCATGTCGTCTGCTGATCAAGCAGAAGCTCAAAATATATCCTTACAAAACCTGGGACCTGAGAGTCTCCTGGGAGGAGTTGAAAGGGGACACCTTTTTCTTTTCTTTTTAAAGAAAAAAAATGGCAAAAAAGTGAAGTTTTCTCTGTAATATGCTTTTGGATGCAATGGTCAAAAGTGCTGGTGGGGTCAGACTTTGCCAAAATTTCCTTTTTTGGAATACAAGCCTCCAAATCCATTACTAGCAAAAGAGATTCCAGGAGCTATGTTCCAGGAAAATAAACTTTCTGAGCTCTAGACAGGGCAAAGTTCCAATGGTTAGAGTGGATGCAGAGTCCCGGAAACAGAGGAGGCAGACTGAGAGGAAATTTGGAGCCTCATGGTTGTGCCAATGATTTTTAGAGGCAGTTACCAGGACTGACAGAAAATTAGCACATAATGGAGACTAAGGAGTTTATCACAAGGGAGGAAATTAGGAGTTTAAACAGTAATGAACCCATGAAAATCACACAATTGACATTAAAACGCTATTAAAATGAGATTAACAGAAGAGCCATTATCCCATGAATAACCAGAGAATAACCAGACAATAAACAGCAAAAAGTCATTCACAGGAAAATCCCATGAATGATTTGCTGCTGTTTCTTGCCAGGTTATTCACTGGATAATGGCACTTTAATCATGTTTCATCTCAACGTTGTGTGAAAACCATTACTGCAATTGCGGGATTACCATGGTTTATTCATGAGATAATAGCACTTTGAACACGACTTTGTGTGAAAACCATTAGTGCAATTGCGGGATTATCATGGGTTAATCACTGTTTATACTTCCAATTGTCCCCTGTATGATAAACTCCTGAGGTTTAAACCTTCTCTCTTGACAGACCAGTTTCTTCTGGGAAAACTTTTTATTTGCATGAAGGAGCATTTGATCACATGGAGATCTCCAGATGTTGTCTAGAATGGCACAGTTCTGACACAGGTTTAGCCCTTTATAAGAACTAAGCTTTGCTTCATGGGGCCATCTCCTATTAACAGAAAGAGGGATCCATATATAGAAGTAACCTTTTCTAAAATTCATTCTTAGAGATGGAAGAACAGCTATAAATAACAGTAAGATCTTATGCAAAGCAACCCTACTTCAGACCAACTCACACTATAGTCCAAGCAGGCACTGGTGTGTAACATCTTGCACTTCTCAATGTGATTTGTTTATCTGTGGTCAACCTCCAGTCTGAGTTACAAACCAGTATGTGAGCTGGGGTCAAGAAACATCTGGCAATACTCTCTAAGGCTGCATCTGCACCGCAGAAATGATCAGTTGGCTCAGCCCTTGACTTGACTTCTTGAATCCAGATTACCATTCTGTGTGCCCCCTATTGGTTTTGGTTCCACAGCTTCTGACTGATATCCTGGCTCTCAAACTTCAGACAGCTGAACAACCACTCACTTCTCATTTCCTTAAATCAACTACAGTCCAAAACACACTGCAGAAATAATCCAGTTTGAGACCCCTTTAACTGCTCTGGCTCAGTGGCAGGAAATCCTGGGAACTGTGCTTTATTGGAGCACCAGAGCAATTTGAGAGAGAAGGCTAAATATCCCACAAACCCACAGTCCCCAGAATCTCGTAGCATGGGAGATTATCAGACAGGAAAAGGACATCCCTGTCCCATCCCGATTGTGTGGGAAGAACTTTCACATGACATCACGCTTATCTGGACATTGTCCCTTCTGAGAAGCACGAGTGACAGCAATTGCGCAAAAGCCTTTTATATTTGAATCCAATTTGAGACAACTTTAATTGTCCTGACTCAATGGAGATCAGATGGGGATGGGACAAGGTTGGGATCACTCTCCTGTTCTTCCTCTGTCCATGACAGTGATCGAGTGAAAGCCTTTCATAACGTAGCACTGATCCTGTCATTATCCTGTCACTGAAGTGGAATTGTCCTGGCATTTTGTATTAATGGGAATTTGCATTAATACAATTCCACTTCAATGACAGGATAATGACAGGATCAGTGTTACATTATGAAAGGATTTCACTCAATCACTGTCAAAGACAGGGTAAGAATGGGAGAGCGATCCCAACCTTGCCCTATACCCATCTGATCTCCACTGAGTCAAGGCAATTAAATTGGTCTCAAACTGAATTATTTCTGCAGGGTTTTGGACCCAAGATAGCTAAACAGCTATAAATCTTCTAGCAGCTGCTGGAAGTTCTTATGATTCACAGCTGTTCATGCTACCAGGCTTTCCACGTTCTCCATGCTTGTGGATTTATTTTGAATTCTTGACTGCTGGACTGGCTTATACTTTACATATTTTTGACTTTCCTTTTTCTCCTTGCTTATTATAATTGTTGGCTTCTTGTGATGGCTGAGACATTGCTACCTAACCTTCCATTCACTTTGGTAAACTCCCTTGATTATCTGTATATGGCCTGGACTAGTCTAACTTACCTGCAACAGCTTCCTCAGCATTTCCTGGCAACTACTGCCTTCAATCATCACCACCACCACCGCCACGATCAGATTTGCAAATCCAGAGAAGCACATCGGCCACAGACAAGAAGCATCACTCTCTGTGGAGCAAAATGAAAAAAGGAAACTTACCTAATATCTTCATCTGTAACAATGAAGGCTTTGCAGAGAGGTTGGGATGTGTTAAGCCACACTGCTGGGTTCTTTTCTACAGCAGCAGAAAGCTGTCCTGTGATGGGAGCAGAACTTGTGTGCAATGCACTGGCAACGGCAGAGAGGAGTGTGTCATCATTATTGCCTGGCCCAACACCTAAGAAAGGGAATGCAACACTTTGCTCATTAAGATCAAATATATCAAAATTCAAAAGGCTGGATGAGATGCTAAGGACACCACTTTTGATTTTCAGTGCCCAAACCAGGAATCTCCATATCTAAATTTCCTAGCGATCCTAACAGATTAGTCAATGCTGTGTTCTCTAAGAATACAGTTGTTTTGTTTTCCCAATTTAAAATGTTTCATTTCTTTTACTTTTACTGTTTCATTCACTTTTTTTTAATCATTTTAATTGTTATGATTTTATCCTGTTTTAATTTGCT